ACAGCAGCGCCCTTTCAGAACCTGCTCCAGGTCAGAAGCAGAGGAGGAATGACTCAGCAGGTGGGCAAACATTCAAATTTCCTATGATCAAGGTCCCAATCTCCTTTTTTGTTCCCGAAGTTTCTGCCTTGAACAAAAGCTGGAGTTGAAACAGACATAGGAATTGCCCTACTGTGAATAACCAGAACAGAGAAACAGGCCTTGCCCTGTAAATGACTGTGTGGACATGGGTACTGGGCCCTTGGGGAGAGCAATGCTCTTGGGAGAGAAAAGGCATGAGACAGAATCATTGTGCTGGACAGAAACCTGGCTTTCCACCCCTAACCCTTGGGGAGCTGGGGTTCGGGGCGGGGGGCGGGGGGGGGCCTGGCGGGGAGGGTCCCAGAAGCCTTGTCTTCTGCTCAGAATGTGCCCAAGCCCTTTCTCTGGAAGCCTTCCATTCATTTCCAAATTGTCAGCTAAGCAGGATGGGACTAACTCTGAAGGGCCCACTCTAATGCCACTCAGGGCCACTTTCTCAATTCAGTTTACTGACGTTTTCTCTCTTCTCTTCCAGACCTCACAGGTCCACCTCCTCTGACAGACACATGCCAACACCAGTGCTGTCCACTCCAAGGCCTCCCTCATCCCTCCAGTACACAGAGCTGAGGTCCTGGCATGCTCATACCCCTCTTTAAACTCAACTCCCATGACACCACTTCTCTGAAGCTCCTTCCATAGGAAAGTCTGTACCCCTCATCCTAGGGGTCACAAACAGATTTAGTAAACTCTGCTGCATTTCCCAGGTCATACCGCCCACCACTGTCTGGTCCCCATCAGTCTTTCCAGACAGCCTGTGAGACCCTGTGGCCAGCACACGGAGGTGCTCAGTTTGAGGACAGATAAACTCTTAATGGTGCCATTTGTAGGTTATGGTCATTTCTAGTGTTCTTCCCAGTAGTAATGTCCCGCACGCGTGCGTGATCAGTCGCTTCAGTCGTGTCCGACTCTTTGCCACCCTACGGACTGAAACTGCCAGGCTCCTCTGTCCATGGGATTCTGAAGGCAAGAAGACTGGAGTGGGTTGCCATGCCCTCCTCCAAGGGAATCTTCCCGACCCAGGGATCAAACCCACATCTCCTGCATCTCCTGCATTGCAGGCAGATTCTGTACCTCAGAGCCACTGGGGAAGCCCAGTAATGCATCCACAAATTCAGGAGGCTTACCTAGCAGATCATCTGATAGAGGAGAAATTAGGTTCCCTTTCTCTACCCCCACATCTCCTAGTGGGAAATGGCAAAGCTTTAGGCAGAATGGCACCCATCCCTGAAACTAGGTCTGTAACATCACTCCCCTCTAGGAGTTAGAACATTTCTGTTCAGAGCCTACTCTGGCAGGTAAACCTGACAGCTACACCTCTGGAATGTGGAAGAGAGAGCCTGCTGCTAGAGGCAGGGAGACAGACGGTAGGGTGGCATGTCCAACTAGGGCAGAAAAGAAGCAAGGGAGGCAGATGTCATATGGAGACAAGGTGTTTGGGAACTAAGCTGTGGGCTCCAAGAAATGAGTGTCTTCTGTCATGAGGTGAAGACAACCAGGCTGACCTCAGCAATCACCAATCATAACCAGGCCAGCTGAACTCTGTTAGTGAAAAGGAAATGTCCCATCCTGCCTCCGGTCCTTCATGCCAATGGCTGTCTGCTACTTTACAATTATTCAGCAATTGTATACCAAGTACCTTCCCCGGGGGGAAAGCCATATTTCCTACTAACTGCTCTAGTTTATATTAAAACCATAAACTCCAGATTAATTAAAGTTGAGCAAAATTAACTAGTATGCCATAAAATTAAGTTTTATCCCATTCAAGACCCCAAGTTTTCCCTGCAACAATTACATTGGGGAGGAAGGGGGTCTGTGGGGAGGGGTGTGGTTCCCTGCAGTTTTGTCAAATAAAAATGACTAAAATTGAAATACAATTCTTCCCACATCACTGCCACAGATTTACTTACTTCCTGTTGCAAGATTTCAGGAAAAAAGGCCATGACAGCCTATAAAAAGTGGTTGTGGAATGTTATTGGAAGTTACAATGTAACCTTTAGTTTTCTTGGTCTCTGGTTTGTTGGAGGACATCCTGGCGCTTCGGCGCCCCCTAGGGGTTCCCTCGCAGAACACTCACCTTTTCTCCAACTGCAAGGCCAGGGTGACTTAAACATTCTCCCTGGGCTTCTCTTGTCCACCACTCAGATGATAATGCTGCTAAAAAGTGTCATACTGACCAAAGACCAGCTCATCCCATGTATAACACGGTACTAAGCGGAGGTGGACTTGCCACTCCAAGAATCTTTTGATATAGAAGCCGTCTAAAATACCAGTCAAGTTATCCATGGTTAGTTATTGAGGAGCAAGTTTTGTTTCCTTTAACCTTCCAGTGAAATTGGAGACTCTGTTCTTGTTCTTGGCTGTCAAAGCAGATGACACACGGATGCAGGAGTAGTACAGGAAAAAGGGAATAGAGAGTAATGGTTATGGCACAGCTCACAATAAACAGGGCAATCTAGTCTCAGTTCTGGGTGGGGTAGGGTGGGTAACAGAAATGAGGGGCTGTGGCTTTGTGGGCTGCGGGAGGCAAAATCCTCCTCTGTTTGCTTTTGATCTCTTCTCCTTTGTAGAGCCTCAATAATCGTGTGTGTGTGTGGGTGTGGGTGTGGGTGTGTGCGCGCGCGCGTGAGCCACTCAGGTGTCCGATTCTGTGCGATCCCATGGACTTTAGCCAGCCAAGCTTCTCTGTCCATGGAATTCTCCAGACAAGAATACAGGAGTGGGTTGCCAGCCCTTCTCCAGGGGATCTTCCTGACCCAGGGATCAAACCTGGGTCTGCTGTATTACTGGCAGATTCTTTAACACATGAGCCACCAGGAAAGACCCTCAATTATTACCATTATTATTTATTTATTTGCTATGAGTAAATTGGCCTTTCCAATTTCTAAAAGGAGGCTAGCTATGGTGATACACACACACACACACACACACACACACACAGAGGAGTGCTCTGGCCAGGGTGGAGGAAGGAGATGGGAGGTTTCTGTCACGAACTGAAAAAAACCAGGCTGACCCCAGAGATCACCAATCATAATCAGGCCAACTGAATTCTGTTAATGAAAAGGGATATGTCCCATCCTATCTCCTGTCCTTTGTGGACAGGAGGGAATGCAAGGAGGTCCTTATTTGATGTTTCTACTGCAGACTGCAAAAGGCTCCTCCTAGCCGCCTGTCCTCCTAGCCGAGGAGTTCCGTTTTCCGCAGCGTCCAGGAGAGTCCGCTCCCGTGGTGGTATCGCGAGGTGCCACTGCTGAGCCACAGGCTCTTTTTAAGAACCTTGAAAGTGTACTGATAATTCCCAATTCAATCCTGGACCACTGGCGTCCTCTGTTGGTCACCTAAGGAAGGGGAGGGCAGACACCATTGAAAACACCAACACGGAGCTGGCCCATCGGATTCGCCGAGAGACTTCGGGGAGCAACTGTGCCCTCGCACTCACCACCCCCATGCCGCCGCTCCTCCCTCCCCTCCCTCCCCCCCAGCATAATGCGAAGTATTCAGATTACACAGACGAGCGAGACTCCCAGAGTCTCCATTTCAACGCACCGCTGGGAACTTGAAAAAAACTAGCCTGAAAAAAAAAAGACAGTGAAAATCACCAATTTTAAGGACTGTTCAGTTATTAATTACGCTTCAGCAATGCTCGTTTTATTGTTTTTTTATATTTTTTGTTGTGAATATAAGCTTTATTTGAAAAGCTCATCAGGGAAGATACCTAAAACAAAGACAAGCGTGATGTCAAATCTCTGACAAACCATCTAAGGACCCATTTGCCGCCGGTCCATTTTAGTAACCAGGGACTTGCAGACACCAGGAAAATGCGAACCCTCATGGCATTGAGAAGTCTATCTGTAAAGAGCGAAAACCACGTGCGCACGTGCAGACGCGCATTTGTGGGGGGCGGGGTGCTTGTGGTAAAGCCCCAAGTCCTTGGCTCCCTGAGACCTAGATGCGAATCGGGTATCCTCATTCAGAAATTCATCTTCCACCCCCCGACCCGAGGAATTAAATTTCTCAAAGCTTTGCAAAGTACACACGGTGAGGAGCTGTGCTCACCCGTTTCCTTGACATCATTTCGACGCGGAGCGACCTCAGCCTGGGGCACAGAGATGGAAGGGCGTCTACAAGGAGGTGGCCCAGGTCAGGGTCTCAGGCGTGGCCTGGAGCGCCGGAGATCCCGGGCTGACCAAGACGCCTGGGTGGCCGGAGGCACCTGGGACTGCAGATTGGTGGGGCTGCCAGGTTTCCGGGAATGGAGGGGTGGGGGAGGGGGGTGGGGCGCCGGGCTTGCGGTAGCGAAACAGGTGCCTGCCGGGGCGACCGCTGGCTATGCGCCCCCGCACTCGACCCTGCAACACAGAGCTAGGCGCGGGTCGGCGGAACCGGGTCTACGCCGGCCCGCCCCCGCCCCCCTCCCCGCAGCCGGCGCGCCGTTCCGGGGCGTGTCCTCGGCCGCCCAGCTGCTATATAGCGGCCGGCGCGCCCCGGACGGCCCAGATGCGAGCGCAGCAGCTATTGCAAGCTGAGGGCCAGCCCTTGCCAGCCCCGATCCTACAGCCTCGCTCGGCTCGCTGCCGCCCAGTCCCCGCGCCCCTCGGCGGGACGAGCATCCGGCCCCCGCGGCGGGCGCCATGCTACGGGCACGCCCCGCGCTCTGGGCTGCGGCTCTGACCGCGCTGGCGTTGCTCCGCGGACCGCCAGAGGCACGAGCCGGGGCGGGCACAATGGGCACGGGCCCGGTGGTGCGCTGCGAGCCGTGCGACGCGCGTGCCTTGGCCCAGTGCGCGCCGCCGCCCCCCTCGCCCCCGTGCGCCGAACTGGTGCGCGAGCCGGGCTGCGGTTGCTGTCTCACGTGCGCGCTGCGCGAGGGTCAGCCTTGCGGCGTCTACACCGAGCGCTGTGGCTCCGGCCTCCGCTGCCAGCCGCCGCCTGGCGATCCGCGCCCGCTACAGGCGCTGTTGGACGGCCGCGGGCTCTGCGCCAACGCCAGCGCCGTCGGCCGCCTGCGCCCCTACCTGCTGCCCGCGCCGCCCGCGCCAGGTGAGCTGCCCGCGCCAGATGCGCTGCTGAAGCGCACGCCTGGGCCGAGGTCAGAGGTGTGCCCCTGTGGAGACTTCGTAGCGCTTACCGCCCCAAGGGTTGTACATGGGAAAGCTGAAGCCTCACGATGCGAGGGCGCTTGCCCGAGGTACCCTCCCCGACCGGCCTTCTACTCTTCGTTCTTTGAGTTGCGCGTTCTTGTAAATTGTAAAGCTCTTTCGGCGAAAACGGATTCTAGATTTCCTGGGGAGGGAGGGAGCAGATTTGGAGGTTAGCGATCAATGGAGAGGTTCTGGACGGAGGGGATTCTCCGGCCATTCATGCAGGCGCCGCGCGGAAATGTGGGCGTGTACTGTGTGGCCCAATTCCGACTTGGGTTTCCCACGAACTAAGAACGAGTGTATCGGCGCGCGGACAATTCTTGCGGACCTAGAGGCTCAGGGAACGGGACCCGGTGCATTTGGACCGGGAATGTGGGCAGGCACGTTGTAGAAAATGGTACCTGGCTTTAAAAGTACTAAGGTATGCACAGACCACAGTTTGCAAAGAGTGTCCAGTCCAGGGGTGTCCCAAAACCAGGGAGGTGGGAACCGGGCATGGGTATCTTATGCAGTCGGACAACCTGACGTTCAGAAAAAAAGTGACTCTGGCGGTGGCAGGTCCTCTAACTTTGAAGCAAGCTTAGCCAGCCTCAGTCCTGTGAGTGAAGAAGTTTCCACATCGCTGAAGGCTAATAGAAAAAGCCCCCACCTCCAACCTCCAGCTGGACAGAGCACAGCAGGCTAACCACCTCGCCCCTCCCCCACCTCCCCCCCCCCCCCACCCCGCCCCAACAACCGTGGCTAGAAGGATGGAAGTCCCCTTCTAATTTCCCTCCGTGCAGGTTTCCTCTTCCAGCTGAGGCTATTTCCTTTCCAAGACTAGTGGAAAGGTAAAATTACAACTGCCTAAAACATTGACTGGTTATAGTAGACTTAAAATTCCTGGATGTGTTTGACTCTCAGGGCAGTTGGGTCGTTTGCCATGTATACTTCACTATTACTGTGCATTTTTGGAAATTCACAAAGTGATCTTAGAAGTTGTTACAGGTATTATCGTTTGGGGCCAGACTTTAATAGGCATTATGATTACTGTCATAGGATCTCCATAGTATAGGTTGATGTAGTTTATTATAAAATTACAAAAAGGTCTAAGTGACTTCTCAAACTCACTTGAGGGGGGAGAAGTAATTTTAAGCCACAGTCAAAAGTTCTGTGGTTTAAATGGAAGGGTTTCTCTTTGTGCTTGTCAGCAGGCATTAGAAAGAAACCAAAAGAAATTACTTAAGAGTTCTTGAAAAAGAAATGCAGATACATTTATTTACATATTCTTAGCATTCCCTTTTGGCCCAGTACTTCCCCAAAAAGAGAAAACTAAGATGAAAGGAAATTGAAACCAAATTAAAAACTTACTGTATCGGATATGAGCTGGATTAATTTGTGCTTTCCCAGACACCAGACCCTTTGGGAACTTTGCCACTTCTCTTCAAGGAACCGTTTCTTTTCCTGGGTGAGAAAATCAAAACCAGAGGGGATGGGGACTTCTCCAAACACCCCGGTGAGCACACCTGTCCAAAGAGCCTCCTGAAGAGAGCAGGGTTTCTGCAATAGAGCAGAGTATCTTTCAACCCTACTCAACCCTCCAGAAGCATTCCCCAAGCTAGAGCATGGCATTTGTTCCTCAGAGCATGGAGCCAGAAGCCTTGGCGGGCTTCCAGGAGGGTGGGCAGGCTGCCATCTGGATGGGTGTGTTCTCAGGAGGGTAGAGAACAGGTCAGCTGCAGCAGTATGCTTGGCACCTCAGGTGTAGTAGACACGGGATCAGATAGTGAACTGAGCCCCACCTGAGAGAACGGCCTCAGGGCACTGCTTGTCAGAGTGAAGTCATCCTGTGACAGTCTCGTGGCTACAACAGAACCAGGCAAAAGGAAGGGGCTCTCTACTGGCCCTTTGCCATTAACATCCCAGGTTCATCCAGGAAAAGAAAGGGGCAGAGCATCCTGGCTCCACATCAGCTGTGCATTTAGTCAGAGTCCTTGAAATTCCAGTGACATTGTGGACATTCCAGTCCATAGTAAGTGTGTCTTAATTAGCTTGGTTACAGTCAGAGATCTGCAGGAAGTGGCTTCCTCTTCAGAGTGAAGCTCTTTGGCACAGAGGATTGTACGCCTTGAGAGGTGGAGATGTCCTTGTCCCCTCTGCTCCTGTGCAAAGGGGGTAGGAAGGACTCATCCAGGACAGTGCCCCAGGATGCACGGGGTCTGTGCAGCTCTCCTGAGTGTTCCAGACCCTACCTGGACAGGGAGTGAGAGATGCGACAGTGAACACCATATAGAACACTCCCAGACAGGCCTCCTGGGTCCAGGTGCCTGAGGTAAAGCTGCTTTGCAGAGAATTCAGTTTCCCCATCGAGCCTTTACCTGGTAGCGCTTAGGACAGGCTGGAATCAAAATCCCTGGGGCTTGCTGACTCCCAGGGGCTGCCATCACCCCAGTGCTTCTGATGCAGCAAGTCCAGGTGGGGCGAAGATATGCTTGTCCACAAGTCCAACACCCAGGAGGCCCGCTCTGGAGTAACCCTGCAGGGTTTCTGAATGGGCCTTTGAGCTGTCACTGACTCAGGTCTGCCCCCTCCTGGTGAAGGGTGAGAGATATGGGAAAGCTGAGAGCATGAAAAGCGTTTTCTTCAGCTGCACCTACATTGTAGAAGCACATCACATTTAATTTTTAAAAGATGACTTCTTGAGGCCAAGGGAGTACCATTCACCACTAATACTTTACCGCGGTATTTTCCTAAACTTATTTGGAATTGTTGAATCACGTTTCCGTATGGATCAGACTTGATCAAAATGGTAAGATTTTGAAGACTGTCATTTATCAATGACCATCAAGTCTGTGCCTCCTTGTGTCCTTCAAGGAAATGGCAGTGAGTCGGAAGAAGACCACAGCATGGGGAGCACGGAGAGCCAGGCTCTCCCCAGCACGCATCGGGTGCCTGACTCCAAATTCCACCCCGTCCACAACAAGATGGATGTCATCAAGAAAGGTCATGCCAAGGACAGCCAGCGCTACAAGGTGGACTACGAGTCTCAGAGCACAGACACCCAAAACTTCTCCTCCGAGTCCAAGCGTGAGACAGAATACGTGAGAGCTTTTCCTCTTCCTGAAGGGGGGCTGGGGCCGCCTGGCCTGGGTATCCAGAGATCACAGGGTCACCGCTGACTCAAGGCCCCAGCAGTTACTCCGGTGGTCCTGCTGATGCACCATGCAGCTGGGAGCCCCTCCTTACAGAAGGGATGCTGACCCTCCCCTGTGGCAGAGAGCCCATGAGAATCAGTGTACTGCTCTAGGCCTCTGCTGGGCAGAGCGGTGTTCTCCCAGAGCTGGCCTCTTTTTGTTCACTTGGCCTCTGAGTGTCATGGCGTGTGTGTCCCTGTCCCAGTCCTGTAGCTTGCCCTGGGGAATCACGAGAGAGACAGGGGGCTGTGGTTGGCATCTGCCTGGGGACGGTGACAACTAAATCAGACAAAAGATGCTCGAGGAGCACATGGTCGGTTCCCTGGGTGTTACGGGGTTTTATCAGACACAGAGTTCCCAGGTAACCCGTGCCTCCTTCCCAGGGGCCCTGCCGCCGGGAAATGGAGGACACGCTGAACCACCTCAAGTTCCTGAACATGCTCAGCCCCAGGGGCATCCACATCCCCAACTGCGACAAGAAGGGCTTCTACAAGAAAAAGCAGGTGAGCACCATCCAAGCAGCTTGCTCCTCTCCCTCCTCCGCTGATACGGACGAGGGAACAGGCTTCCACCTGAGTCCTCTGGCTGCAGCCCCTGCTCCCACCCCTGTCCCCCCCCACCACACCCAAGACCTGAGGGGCTTCACGTGAATTCTCAACCCTGGTGTCTTCTCACCGTCCGCGTCTCCTTCCCAACCCGCAGAGCAGTGTAAGGCTTCCCAGGACCCCTTTACTAGCCGTGGAGGGACCAGGACATGTTAGCATTGCACAATGGAGCGACATTTTTAATCAGCAACTGTAGAGAATTCCCAAGAAGCCTGATGTGATGTCCTATGGCAGGAAGCTTCTTCTGAGACCCCATGTCGGACCCTTGTATGCCCATGCCTTCCTGATGGTGCCGGGCTGTACAGGATAAGACACATGGGAGATGTGTTCATTTGAAGGCATAGGGAGTGCCCCTGTGTAGATTTCAGATCATGTTCTAACAGTGTCTCAACTGACTTTTTAGTGGGACAGCTCTTAACCACAGTACCTACAGAATTAATCACAGAACAGCATGGCCATGTTCAAAGTGCTGGTGGTAGTGGCCTCGATCAGAGGGCCCATCCTGTTCAGTGATGACTGAACAGGCCTCTGTGGCCTTTTTGTATATTTCTATTAATCACTTACTCAGCAGACTTATCCTGAGACGGTACCACGTACACAGCTCAGGGCGTCCTCTGAAAGACCCAGATGTGACAAGCACGGGGCAGATGGGGCATTGTCATGCCTCCCCCCTTCAGCAGGTAGACTTTGCAGGGCCAACAGGGTCTAGTGTCCACCCCTGCAAGACCCTGAGGGACGCAAAACCACCCCTCATTTTGGAGGGCACTCACATCCACCCATCATGCCCCCAGACGCTGTGCACACAAGGCCTTGATCAGCTGTGCATTCTAAGGGTAGCAGAGACCGCACTGGGAAACCATCCTGGGGGCTGAGCCGTTGATAGGACCCCCCAGGGCGGGGCCTCCCCAGGTCTCACTCAATCTGTGCTCTGCCCACAGTGCCGCCCTTCCAAGGGCAGGAAGCGGGGTTTCTGCTGGTGTGTGGACAAGTATGGGCAGCCCCTCCCAGGCTTCGACGTGAAGGGGAAAGGGGACGTGCAGTGCTACAGCATGGACAGCAAGTAGACTGTGGCCACGTGAGTCCTGGGGACTGGCAGGGACCCACGGGGGCACAGGTTGGGGGGCACACCTGTAGATCCCAGGGATCCACAGGGGCACAGGTGGGAGGGGACACCTGTAGATCCCAGGGATCCACAGGGGCACAGGTGGGAGGGGACACCTGCAGATCCCAGGGATCCACAGGGGCCCTGGTGGGAGGGGACACCTGTAGATCCCAGGGACCCACAGGGGCACAGGTGGGAGGAGACACCTGTAGATCCCAAGGATCCACAGGGGCACAGGTTGGGGGGCACACCTGTAGATCCCAGGGATCCACAGGGGCCCTGGTGGGAGGGGACACCTGCAGATCCCAGGGACCCGCAGGGGCACAGGTGGGAGGGGACACCTGCAGATCCCAGGGACCCACAGGGGCACAGGTGGGAGGGGACTCCGTAGATCCCAGAGGCTGGCGACCCAGAAGCCGTACTGTCCTGGTGGACAGTCCCACACACAAGACAGAGCCCTCACTCTGCCCAGACAAGAGCAGGAAAGAGGGTCTGTGGCCAGGTTGTCTGAGAGACACCTCGCATGCATGCTGCCACTAGGCTCTTCTGTCCATGGAATTTTCCAGGCAAGAATACTGGAATGAGTTGCCATTTCCTTCTCCAGGGAATCTTCCTAACCCAGGGATCGAACCCACATCAGTTGCATTTCCTGCATTGCAGGTGGATTCTTTACCACTGCGCCACCTGGGAAGAGGCACTTTGCTTCATTTTAAAGAACTTACAACCCGTAAACCTTCTTACACATGCAGTGTAAGATTTCCAAAGTTAAGCTTTTTCCCCAATGAGCCTCATGGTTCATTTAATTTCACATGTAAATTGTTTTCATCCAAAAGAACTTGTTGAAAGAATGAGTTTCTAAAGATGGTAGCATTTTTTTTTTTCTGGTAAAATACATTATGGCTATCCTGAGTCAATGACTAGTATCATTTTAACATAAAGTTTACATAAATCTAATATGAATGGAGAAGGGAATGGCAACCCACTCCAGTATTCTTGCCTGAGAAACCCCATGGATGGAAGAGCCTGGAAGGGTATATTCTATGGAGTCGCAAGAGCTGGACATGACTTAGTGACCAAACCAGTGGCACCACCAAACATAAAATTGACCTTGTCCTCATTATACTTTGTTTGGTGACACTCTTAAGAGCCACAGAAAAATCAGATCAATAAGATGAAAGTATATCTGATTATAGTATAAAATACCAATTTTAATGAAAGATCTTATCAAAGATTAGTTGGTATCACTTAAAGCCCATGAGTCATACTTAACACTGCACTATCAGAACAAAACTCCTCAAGCAACAGGTACCAGCCCTAGGTTTTAGCAAGGATGGAAACAGTGAACATGTTTTTGGTTTAACTTTTTGTTGAACTTTTTTTTTCAGGCTTTATGAAAGGTATTTCCTTTGCAAACTAGTGACTGGTTTTGACTTGTGATTTCCTGGATTTTTGAGCAAGCTCATTGATAAATGAATCATTTTCTAAAAAAAAAAATCTAATATGAAAATGAAATTTCAAACCATCGTGTGAAAGAATGAAATCATATTTCATTTTGTTTTCTTTTCATAACTGAGAGCTATTGGGAGAAAAATATTTCACGGTCTGAAGACAAATTTAAGTAAACAGAAGAAAATGTCATTTTTAGTGATCAGTTCTGTTTCCTTGCAAGTTAAAAAAAAAATAATTGTAATTTTAGGGTGACTATGTTAGTGTGCACCATGGGCGTCTCATGGAGTTCTCTGCTTCATTAAAAAGTGAAGGGTGAGCCCCTACCCTGCCAAATGTGTGGGTGTCATGCCTGATTATCCCAGGGTGGGCGTTGAGCCCTTTTGATTTTGGGGAGATTTATGTCAACACATTCTTTTTTCTTTCTGTTTTAGTTAATGTGGAGCTCAAATATGCCTTATTTTGCACAAAAGACTGCCAAGGACATGATCAGCAGCTGGCTACAGCCTCGACTTCTATTTCTTTTTGTGGCGAATTGATTTTTTTTTTTAAACCAAAGTTTAGAAAGAGATGTTTGAAATGCCTAGTTTTCTTCCACATGGTGAACCTGGCATCTTTCCACTTTCCAGTAGTCAGTGAAATGCAGTTTGATTTTTCTCGTTGCTTCCTATAAAAATACTTGTAAGTGCAAACTCGGTGCAGCCGTAGCTCACACTGCCCTGGAACCCTCCCCACCTCTCACCACAGCCAACCCTCCACTTCATGCCTTAGCAACAGCTGTTGCTCACGTAGACTCGCTTCATCCCCACCTCTACGACAAGACAAGGCCTCATCAAGAAGAGGAACGCCCTGTCCTTAAATGCCTGCACATCCCAACACACCCACCTGGGGCTACTGGGGCCAGGGTCCCTGGACCAAGAAGATATTTTGTATCTTCAAGGGACCTGCACTGCTTGGAAACAAGTGGAGAGAATCAAGTGGAATCTTGTTTGGAAAAAAAAAAAAATGACCAAGAATGTTCTAGGGCACTCTGGAAACTGACAAAGGTGGGGATTTCAGACCCTTCTTTGTCAAGCAGCTTTCTGAAGACACGGGCTTTGCTGAGGCCCCATGGGGCAAAAGGGGCAGGGCAACAGCCAGAGGCATCACAAGTAATAGCCTGGCTCTCCAGATGACTGCGGAAAACAGTGTTTTCCCACTTAGCCATTCAAGGGCAAGTTTATTCTTGAGGATAAGCTCCTTGAAGGCAAAAAAGGTTTCTTTTCATCTCTCCCCTTTTGTCCTCCTTGGCACAGTATAAAAAATAATCATCCTATATAACCTGGAAGACGAGTGGTTTGCTGGGGAGCCGGTCAGGGACACTGGGAGCACAGAGAATCACCCTTGCTTGGTTCACTTGGACTTCCTCCTTTTCTTTCTAAGTCACAAGTACACGCAGAGTACCCTCTTCCTGACTGTTCACAGTGTATACGTCATCGTCCAAGTATGATAGCACCTATACTAGATAATCCTAGATGAGTTGTAAGCGTTGCTAGAGAATATAAACACAGCCACGACCGAGGGAGGGGGCTCGTGCATGGGGCTCGGCCACTCTCCCAGGGGACACCCTCCCCAGTCTGCAGGAGAGCAGGGAGGCGTCCCCGGCCAGCCCCCTGCAGCCTCTGGTTGGATCCACGCTGCACACAGCCCTCCTGGAGAACACAAAGGGATCTCAAAGATGCTCTGCCTACCTATTAGCTTTCCTTTATTTTTTTAATTAAGTTTTTGAGAAAAAAAAAAGTATTTTTGAAAAGTTTGTCTTGCAATGTATTTATAAATAGTAAATAAAATTTTTACCATAAAGAAATCCCCCTTTCTCCAGTTTTTGTGTTACTAACAAACCAGAGGGCAGTAGTGTTCCAGCTGTAGTTGTAACTTTCCAACTTTCCCTGCTTGCGTCTCTGGCAAGAGAATCCAAGGAGCCACCCCAGGGCTTTGCTGGTACCCACAGGGGCACTGGGTCATGTCTGCAGTGAGCCTCTGGTTCTAAGAGGCCAGATTGTTGACCTGAGTGACCACCTGACCCTCGTTGCCTTTAGATTGTATCCCCTGTTGTCCTGTCTGTCACCACTCCAGGCAGCCTTCATGGCTGAGCAGGAGAAGGCGTGGAACACTCCGGAGGATTCAGCCTCACATCCTTTCCTGTGATCCGGTCAGCCAACCCCTCTCTGGTCTGGAGAAGGGAGTAGATGAGGCCAGAAAGGGATAGAAACCCCAGGAGACACTGGATGGGTTCCAGGGTCTCCGTCCCCTCTCTGCAGCCTTGGAACAGTTGACCCTTGTCACAGAGCCACTTCAGGCAAAGTCCTGAGCCTGTGACTTCTGGGCATCGAAGGATGAATTGCACATCAAGGAATCTCCTGTTTAGAACCATAACTGACCTGTTAGTAGAACATCTAAGGTGGGCCCTTTATCACATAGCTGTGTGTGCTGAGCAGAGAGCTCTGTAGGTGCTCTGGGGACCAGGGTTGTGGGAGGTGGCCTGGGGGACGTGGGCAGGAAACTGGCAGGCCCTTTGGAGCCAGTATGAGCTGTGAGCTGCCCAGGATGCTGACTCTATAAGCCCTCAGGGCTTGTCTTCCTGGAAGCCCCCAAATCACGGGCCCTTTCTTATCCTCATTCTCCACCTCCTTCCACACCTGTGGTCACCTTTTCTTCCAAATGCTCTCCTGCCACGTCCAGTAAGCACATGGATTGCACCCACTTGGTTCTGCCCCATACCTTCCCTTCCTCAGTCACCTAGGTAGACCTTCCACCCTCAGGCCTCAGCTTTCACCAGCCCTGAGTGCAGATCCCCAGCCACCACCCCCAAGGGCACAAGGAAATGAGTGATGGGGCTCTCCACTTACAGAGGTCAAGGCCAAGCAGTTGCTATGACAACCCCTTACCAGGATTTAACCAGGAAATCAACACACTAGGAAAATCTCAATCACTGATGCTGACATGGGTGTCAAGAAACAAGGTTTCTCTGATGAGGCAACCTGTCCAGAGTCATTTTCTCATGTGGTCCAAACTTAAACCAACCATACTTGTATAGAAACTTAGCAGAAAGCCCTAATTGGAATGTGCCCAGAGACCACTGCTGCTGCTGCTGCTAAGTCTCTTCAGTCGTGTCCGACTCTGTGCGACCCCATAGACGTCAGCCCACCAGGCTCCCCCGTCTCTGGGATTCTCCAGGCAAGAACACTGGAGTGGGTTGCCATTTCCTTCTCCAATTAATGAAAGTGAAAAGTTAAAGTGAAGTCGCTTAGTCGTGTCAGACTCTTAGCGACCCCATGGACTGCAGCCCACCAGGCTCCTCCATCCACGGGATTTTCCAGGCAAGAGTACTGGAGTGGGGTGCCATTGCCTTCTCCCCAGAGACCACTAGGACATGTTAAACTGAAATAACCTCTGGAGAAAGGAATATTATGCCACTACTAAAATGTTTTCGATGTTAAGACAGAAAGATGCTCGTGGTGAGGTAAAGGAAAAGTA